ATGGTGACGGCAGAATCCGGTGGCGGGGAAGTTTGGCGACGGTGTGGAGCATGGTTGGACGGCCGGAATTGTGCGGGACCGGGCGGCCGTGGTTGTAGGGGTGGCGGCGGGACTTGGGGCGGCCCTGGTGCCCGACGGCCAGAATTGGCAGGCGCAGATGCAGTGTGAGGCCGCTTGGCGGTGGTTGGGTTCCTGCGCAGCAGTTTTGTTTTTTGGTTGGCTGCTAGCGGTGACCGAAATATACATCATTTGTAGCATTGTTTGGTCAGGACCAAAAAAAAATATGGCCGCCATATAGGTATTTGTCTGCTGTTGGAGCTGTCAGTGTTTTTGTCACGGCTATGTTTTTTGGTCTGCTGTTGGAGATAGTCTAACTGATTCTAGGTACATAGATATAACTTAGTCCCCCTTTCTACAAGTAATTATTTTATGTATTACATTTTTTTGTGAGTATTGTGTTTCAACACAACCCAGCAAGTTCAGTAGCCTAAAATGCATTTATGTGCAAACTGATGCTAATATGTTTATGTCTTGATATTAGAATTTTCCATACTTAAGGTTATTATCACTGAACATATGGAGACTGCAAGAATGAGAATCATCTGGATGTGTATGGATTTAAGACATGGGAACAAATGCTGTGTTCTTGTAGTTAATGTTTTACACTATATCATCTTACGATTTTAATTTGATACAAATGCATTCATTTTACAGGATGTTTATAAGAATATTTCTCCCACAGTTTTGGGTGTAGTTCAAGGCCTTAATGTGACAGTCTTTGCGTATGGCTCTACTGGAAGGTATGCATTCACTGGATTATTTTTGCTACTGACAAGCAGATTGCTTATCTTTTAGCCATCATCAAATATGTACTGCTTTACAATCACAGTTCTGAAGGATCTCATAAATTGCGCTCATTAAAATATGGTGTAAATTTCGTAAGTTTTTAAACTTTAAGGAGATGGATGATATACTGTCCAAACACTTCTTCAGATGTGGTCATCGAATTAACGCATTATATTTTCCTGAATTTCCTCTATTTCAAAATTTTCTTATCTGTACCATGCTTGGTAAGCTTACCTCTTAATCATGCAATTGAGGTTAAAAAGCGATTAAATGCTTGTCCACTCTAGATTGTATTTACTTCACACTTAGTCAGTTGCCATCCCAATTTAATGATTGTTCAAATGGTTTTGCTATTTCTAAGTCACCGTCCAGGTCTGTTTGATAGTAAGACTTTAGGATTTGTACATGTCTGTTTGATAGTCACGGTCCCGGTCTGTCTTGATCTTACGGCTATAAGTAGTCGACTGTTCAAAATGCTAAAAATGAAACTGTTCCCAGTTGCTATGGGATGTTACTTTGTTTCTTTTGCTTCATTCTTTTCAAAACTTCCCTGGCGAAGAACTGATGTACTATTTATTCAGTAAAGGTGTTTTTGCTATACTTGGATACTGAGCTACAATATGAAGTTGTTCCATATGTATATTAATATGCCCTGCTGTATGTGATTCTACAGTGGCAAAACATATACGATGGTTGGAAGCCGGAGTGATCCTGGTCTTATGGTTCTTAGCTTCCGCACAATCTTTGATCAAATAAAAAAAGATGATAGTTCAGATACATTTGAAGTCTCATGTTCATATCTGGAAGTATACAATGAGGTAATGTGCAAATAATTGTGTTTATAATAAAAATATTATCAGTCCTAATAGATGTGTTGCATAAAAGCTGTGAAATAATTGTCGGTTTTCTGAACTCCAGGTTATCTATGATTTGCTTGAGAAATCCTCAGGTCACCTAGAGCTTCGTGAGGATCCCGAGCATGGCATAATAGTTGCTGGTTTAAGAAGAATTAAGGTTTACAACTCTTCCTTCCTCACAGTATTTATTTTTCCTGGTAATAAGTTACATGTCTTGGCTGCTAGTGTTAATTCTGGCCTTCTTTTGTGTTATTTGCTTTTTTGTTTGTTACTCTTAACATTTCTAATTATTATTTTGCACATAATGTTATCTGCATAGTACTCTTAACATTTCTAATTATTTCGAGTAGCTGATAAGTTGACAATGAAAGGACATGAGTAGATATTCTTGTTGTGCTTTTAAGCTGCAATATTTTCTGAGTATTCTGTAGGAAAAGCTTGCAATAAATAATTAAAATGTTTATTTTATGTGGTCTCTTTTTTCAAAGATATTCGGTTTGGTCCTTGGTTTTGTATGAAGCCTTTTTTTTGTCTAATTCTGTTGCAACATCCAGATATTGCATGTCATGCTATATTCTGAAAGCATGCCTGTTGATTCCCATCGGTTTTGGCATAAACTAAATTTGGATGTTTAAACTCTTATTTTCCTAGGTCCATTCAGCAGATAAGATCCTTGAACTCTTGAACATAGGCAACAGCAGACGAAAGACAGAGAGCACGGAAGCAAATGCAACCTCTTCACGGTGAAAAAATTTCTGCTTCCCCTTTAAAAGTTCATGCTTCCATTTTATTTAGGAAAAAGTCCAAAACAAACCTTGAATTTGTAGGCGAAAGCTAAATCAAACCCTGAACTCTCATTCCCTGAAATCAGTACACCAAACTCTCTAATCCCGGTCTATTTTGAACCTTCAGATGACTTAGCCGGTATTTGCTGAATTAATTGAATACGTCTTAGTAAAACTTAAATACTAAGGTTACCTAATATCTTTAATCTGTTAAATTGTTGAGATTGTGACTCTTATCAATACAGTTACGATCAGTTAATAGTACTGGCATTTTTTTACATTATTCTCACAGAAAATACGTTTGCTCTCTTTTTCAAGTTCACACGCTGTACTGGAGATTACTGTAAGGCGCAAGCAGAAAGGAAAATATGGTAGTCAAGTTCTTCGTGGAAAGCTGGCCTTGGTTGATCTTGCGGGAAGGTATTAACTTTTCTTTTGGGGCTGCTGCTTTTCTTTTCACTCTGTCAGCAAAAGTAAGCTGAAAACAATTTTCTTTGAGCAGTGAGAGGGCTTCTGAAACGAACAATTTTGGCCAAAAGCTTAGAGATGGAGCAAATATTAACAAGTCACTTCTAGCGTTAGCAAATTGCATCAATGCCCTTGGCAAGCAAAATAAGAAAGGTCTAGCATATGTTCCATATCGCAACAGGTATGTCAGGTGGACATTATACTATCAAACCGATTTTGTCCATTCTAGTTATGTGACAGTGGCTATTTACAGCAAATTAACTCGAATTCTGAAGGATGGTCTCTCTGGTAATTCTCGAACTGTTATGATTGCCACAATATCACCAGCTGATGATCAGTATCATCACACTACCAATACACTCAAGTATGCAGATCGTGCTAAGGAGATAAAAACACATGTTCATGTAAGGGGTCGTTTCTTTCGGTTGAGCGCACACGCAACGATATATTATTTCTGTTGGTTCATCTTTTTTTCTGAATCATACATGATAAAGTTCTATTATTTTGATGTTTGTTCTTTATCCTGTATAGAAAAATATTGGAACTATCGACAATCATGTTGAAGACTACCAGAGGATGATAGAGAATCTCCAGGTCTGCCTAACAGGGAAACGAGTAATTTCTACAGTTTTACCTAATTCTTGGCCACAGTAGAATACTAAAGTATGTCGCCTTGTCACTTTCTAGGGTGAGGTCTCCCAGTTGAAAAAGGAATTAGCTGATAAGGAGCATCAGTTGAGCGTAAAACCTACTGAAAAGGCTGCAGATAATGAGCTATCTTGGCTAAATGTCTTGAGCCAGGAAACTGGTGAGAATGTTCAGGAACGCATAAATCTACAGAAAGCACTGTTTGAACTTGAAGAAACCAACAAGCGTAACCGGATGGAGCTCCAACATCTTGACGGTGCAATCGCAAGACCACAGGTGGGTAACTTGACTGATCAATTTTCCTACAACTCTTTCATCAAACAGACTGTAGCAGCTCTTTCCTACATCTATTGTCGCAACAAATATCTGAGAAATTCAACCCTATGTACAGTGCACTGATGGTTTTGCATTCAGGTGAATGAGAAGGATTATGCCCTTTTGCAAGCCTTAACATCAAGGAGGCAAGTTATTCTTGACAACATCCGTGACAATGATGAAGCTGGTGCTGGCTACAGAAAGGTACATATTAAGTTTAATTTTGCTCTATTACCTTGAAGCAAACTTACATGGCTATTTATCCTTTTCACTGTAGGATATTGAACTGAATGAGAGTCGTAGGCGTCAGCTCCAAGATATGATCGAGGAGGCTACGAGTAACAATGGGAACAGGACTTACCTGCAGATTCTCAGCCAATACAGGCTTCTTGTGAGTAATCCCCAAAGCTTTAGTTTTCCATCCAGAATATGATATCCCACAAGCTGCTTATATATGTAAAAAATGAATCCTTCAGGGAATGAATAATGCTGAGCTTCAAATTGAGATGGCTATGCGGGACCAAGTAATACATAACCAGAGGGAATCTCTAAGGAGCCTATGGAACATTCTCTATGGAACAGGGCTAAACCAGAAACAGATTCTGAAGTTGGCTGCTAAGCAAGGCTTAACTGTGGAAGGCTGTCCTTTGCCTAGCTCGAGCCCTGATGTTGCTACACCCCATGGAAGGCTACCACCATTCATGTCGTTTCCTAGTCCACAGTCACAGTCTTCCTCTCCATCTAGTTGCTTTTTACAACAAGGTTTCAGCACCATGTCTGTTCTCAAAAATCAACATGAGACGCCTACCATCTGTAGGCAGGAACATCTCAGCTCTTACTACATGATGTCTGGCTCCTCGCCTTATGCTGGTGATGGAAAACAATGGGCAAGTGGAGCGTCAACGCCATACCATTCTACCCCAGAAACGAAAAGCGAGCGATCGCCCTGCAGTGGCGAGCTTCGCACCCCATATTCTGGAATTGAAGGTTTCAGCAGGCAAAGGAAGGTAATTGTCTGTCTCTCTTTTTCTACAAGCAAATTGCACTCCATAATTCTGGAGTTGGGGCACTGATTTCAACTTGCTCAAGTAACCACATGATGATAGCATCTTCCATTAAGAAGGACATCTGGTACAGTCTAAGTGGCAACATTTTAATCTTGGCATGAACTATGATTTTCCTTTTTCCAGGATTCGTGCTCTAGAGAAAGGTAAAGAGGAAGGACATCAAGATTCAAGAAGACACACGAGTCATGACTCACTGAGTCAACGCACACAAGCAGCTGACATGGCTATAATACCAGCCTGATGCCTGCAATCTGATATGATCCTCCTGTGTGCACATCATCTGCCGACACCGGCCGGCCGAGTTCCTGGATCTGATAAGAGGATGTTACTGGTAGTTTAGGCCAAGCTGTTGCCATGCCCTAGGCCATGTTCATGGTCATTTTGGTGCCTCTAGATGTGTGTGACATGGCGCACTCCACTCCTGTACAGTAGTTGTTAGTCTCTCCTGTAGTCAGTCCTGCTGTACCATGTCTCCTGTTAGTCTGTTGCCTTGTATAGTGTATGCATCTGTTGGGGCTGAATCTACCTTTTGGGCCAAGAATCCTGTAAATTTGCTGCGACTCTTAACCCTTCATCAAGCAAGTAAAGCCCGCTCCGAGCACGGTGGTCGCTACTAAGTGGTACCCCTTGCAAAGATTGCCTAGGAAAATTTCAACAGATGAAAAGGACATTCCCTAATGTTGGCCCAAGGCTGCGTTTGGCATCGCCATGGATTATAATGATCCCGTTTACTATCCAATCTGGTTTCAACAGCGAAACGCAAACAGAGCCTAAATACATGAGGGCTTTCGAGACCGTTGCTGAAACACCGTATGAAATGAAGAGCGAGCAGTTACCATTGACATCACCGTTGCTGGGAGATATGATGCCTGATGATTGAGCTCAAGGACACGGTACCGTATGTAGGATGGATGGGGCATCATGTGTTGCGCATGGGCCGGTACTAGATAGCACTAACAACTTGTGCTGTTGGACCGGGGCCGGTGGGGATCTCATCTCATCTCATCTGCGGATGGATGGACGCAGATGATTCATTCATTCATTGATTTCGCCCCCCTGGACTGACGCCCGTCACCCACTCTGGAGACCACATTCATTCATTCATGCCGGAGCCGGATGGTCCCTGCTGCAGAAGCTACGAGCCCACAACCCCACATCGATAGAGAGTTATTCATTCATGTACGCAGGAGAAGAGAAACATTTTGGCTGTCTGAATGCAACGCGCGCGGCAGCGGCTGAATCTGCACGGCAGCGCTCGCCATTACGCTCGGCACGTCGACACGCCGGGTGGCTAGCTACCCGACCTGGGGCTGGGGATGGGGCGGGGCCTCGGCCTAGGCTACGGCCAGCCACCAGCCCACCGCCCGCACCCGTGTGGCCTACTCGGTAGCCTGTTTGGTCCAACAAACAAAAGCGCTACTACCGCTGCTGCCCTGCGTCTTGTTTGCCATGGTGATGAAAAGGAAAATGTTTCACGGAATGGCGCGAGCAACGATCGAACAAGCGTGCAAGTCGTGTCGTGACCCCGGCCCGGCGTACCAACCTGAACCAAGCCAACGCTGCAGCCTGCAGACGACGGCCCAGGGTGCATGCAATGCATATGCCTGCTCTACCGGCGGTGTGCACGGCACGGCGTGGCGTGGCGTTGCTGTTTCGGGCGCGCAAACTCGCGGCGGATCCTGCACGTGAAAACACAAAGCAGCTCCCGAGGCCGCTGCTGGGTCGGTACTCGGTAGGCTGCTGTTTTGCCTTTTTCTGTCTTTCGTTTTGTGATGAGTTGTGTGGTCTCTCGCCTTCGTCTGATCGCGTGCACGCATTTTCATTTTCATTTTCGTTTCTGATGTGCGTTTCCTGCAAACGAAAACACGGTACGTATAAGCAAACAAACAGTGCAGGGTTGCTTTGGAAGCCGCTGGCTGTCTTGTCTATAACCTGTAGGCCCTGGTAGCATCCAGCTGCTTGGGGCGGTAAATAAGACGAGCGTGGTTGATTACTTGATTAGGCTGGTCATAGTGGGGAGTAAGTTATACTAGTGTCATGCATATGACACTAGTCTAAATTATTATCTTCATAGTGCAAAGTATCATAGTAGTGGTGTCATAGATCGCTTCATTTATTAGCATATAACTCATTTTACCTTGAGAAGCGCTATGTTACAATAACATATTATGTTACTTCAAACACCTCTTTTCTCATTAAATACTTGCCACATAAGTAAAATTGCCTTGAGATGTGTTAAGTTACTATCTAAGTTACCCCAACTATGACCAGCCTTGGGCAAACAAACATGGCTGGCCCCGTCTCTCTGTCTGTGTTTGTGCGTGTGAGTGGGGCCTTATTTGGTTCACAGGAATAGAAAACATAGGAATCGAGGGAACCATAGGAATGATAAAGGAATAGAAGTGCAAAACTAAGGATCCAAAACCAGAGGAAAAAGAAAGCAATGGGCGTTCGGCACAGCATAGGAAAAAATGGAGGAAGACTCCATCATTAGACGCTAGGAAAGCGAGATTCTGAATATTTTATTCGATTGCATGGTGCTTCTCTCACGTAAAGCATGTACCTACAGAATTATTTATTTGAAAAGCCATCTATCTGCCTCGGGCATACGCGTAACATGAGCCCAGGCTGGATTTTTCATTTCCTGAGGAATCACGTCGTCAGAGCAGCATTCCAGAGGAAATCAAATCAGCATTTCCTTTGATCCGAATGACCATCTGGAACAGCACTTCATGTAGATTTCCTGTGAAAATCCTTTGAAACGAATAGGGCCTGGGTGTTTTCAAAGAGATAGACGACGGCTTTGCACGGGATACAGCGCGCGGCCAGCTCGGAGCTTGCAATTTCGTCTTCGTCAGAAGCAGTAGTGATCCCACTAACCAAATATACTGGCCGCAAAAACACTACGCTACCGCCATTTGTTTACTTGGCTCTAGGCTACCACTATCCCACGCCCTAATCTAGGACATAATTGATCATTACTACGACGTTGAAAAACTACTCTATGGCCAAGCACCACTGTAATAGTCTTATCAAGCCCAACTAAAATTAGTCAGCTCCATCCATTCAACGATGGAGCTTAATTCCAAAACTTTGATGGGAGTACTCCATCAAGTGAGAAGAAACCGCACAGTGCTGCTACAACCAAAGATTTGATGGGAGTACGTGACCGCCGTGGAGCCTCCCTTCCCTTGGAACCATGCATTCACGGTCGCCTATGCTCCGTCCTCCCTTTGTTTCTTTTCACCTGCTCCAAAGCGCCTCCCCTCCCTCCCTCACATGATAGGCGTGGGGTAAAGAGCCTCGGCCTTCACTTTCTTTCTTCTTTTACCAGCCCTGGGACCTTAAAAAATTAGTATACAGCACTGCTTGCATTATTGGCTAATTGATCGCACTAGTGGTAGTAGTAACATTTTGATCTTATCTGCCATGGTTAGTTTAAAGATGGATGAGGCCTAGTACCGTAGTACGCATGATTTTGTAGGGCCTTTATTAAGATCGCACTTCACCTCGACACATGCAGTTTGCGGAGGTGCACTTATCATCGTCATCATCATTAGTGTCTGCTCTTAACCTCAGCCAGCGATCGATAAAAGCTGTGGTGATTGCTGATAAAGGGAGCTAAAACTTTAACTTATCTCCCTTTTGGCAGTGACTTTGTGCAAAAGTGACTGTTAGTGCTTACTAGCAGCTTAATCATTCTTGGCTCTGCATCCATTCTTACACAAGACGAGGAAAGCATTCAGAATCAGATTCATCCCGTGCCCGTGCTGTCACTGCTGCCCAGTTTGGTTCAGTGGCCCTTAACCTCGCAGTAACTACGCCATGCCTGCTCGCTTAACCTGTAAACGCTGGGACCTACACTAAAAACTGCAGCATGCAGCGCGTAGTACAGTACTACACGGGCATGCATTGCGTCATGCAGTCAAAGAGGTGTTGTTTTTTCTCACCGGACGGGCCCGTCCTCCAGTGGTGTTCTCCGGCCAGCCAATGGCGAAACTCTGAGGAGGAGGAGGGGAAGAGAGCGGGAGCGGGCGAGGGCGGAAAATTTCCTCGGAATCACGCGAGCGAAAGCAGCGGGTGGTGGTGGTACGGGCTCTGGGCCAGTGCAGGGCGAGCGCAAGACAATCGCAAGAATTTGACCGGCGTGGCATCTACTTCCTCCGTTTCTAAATATTTGTCTTTCTAAAGATTTCAATAAGTGACTACATACGAAGCAAAATGAGTGAATCTACACTTTATAATATGTCTATATACATCCGTATGTGGTAACCATTTGAAATCTCTAAAAAGACAAATATTTAGAAACGGAGGAAGTAGCGCCGAGCGGGGCCCGGTGGGTCCCGCGGCGTCGGACACGGGACCGGGGGCGCGCGGTAGAAAACGATGATACTCCCGCCACCACCAACAGCGACAGCGGGCGAGCGAGCCTGCTTGCTCAAGTACCACGGCCACTGCTGACGCCGTGAATGGTCCGCAGTAAAAAGGAAAACTACTGTAGGAAACTGAGGCTCGAATGATTACTTGTCCAAGTAGTAGTACTACGATTAGTGGTAATGACTAAACTAAACTGACTGTGGTACTAGTACGCGCAGTAACTTCTTGCGACGGGGGTGATCAGTTATTAACACACACGCAGCGTACCGCCAGGCCTGAATAATCTGCAGTGAAGGCGAACGTTAACTATACTGTGTACTACGAGCAGTAAATATACTGCTTGTCGACGCGTGAGGATCAGTTGGTTTTACTGTAGTGCGAGCAGCGGCCAGCCTCTGGGCTGGCTGGCTGGCTGACACCGCGGGTTAACTCGCGCAGTCGTTGGCTGGCTGCAGGATGAGCTGCGGTTTTCTGAGAAAGTAATTCATGGCATGGTTTACCCATGGCGAGTCTGAGTCAGCGTCGT